CTTCAAAACAACCTGGTACTTTCTTTTTTAGTATCCTCTAGTTGGTCTCCCCAAACTACCAATTTAGATAGCCCGGAAGAGACACTGGTCCCATGATATCTGCAGATCCTTTTCCTCTTGTTGATGCTCAATCTGGCGGCCTGGTTGGTGAAACAACTTGCCGAGTGTTCTTGTTGTATCTGGTTCTCTAGCCTCAGATGAAGCCTATTTTAGTAGTCATCGTCAAAAGTCTGTGCTACATCTTTACTTAGGTCTTGCCAAGCAGACATCTATCTTTCTGGTTCCTTGGGTTTATATGAGCATGAGATCTTATTTTGGGTTTGCACTGACTAATACCGGCTTGCATACCTTCATGTAACTTATATGTTGCATAAATATCCCATGTTCTTCCAATTTTGTTGATGCAACTAAGGTTACAGAGATTTTGTTCCAACCGATTGTTGAAAGACAGTAGCTGTTGTACAAGCAGAATATTTGAAATTTTGCCGTTGGTGGGTTTCGAACCCCCACTTGCCAACTTGCTGCTTGAAGATGCGACAACTTAACTACTTCACTAAGTTGCTACACCTCTGATCTGAGTTTTCTATACCCTATAAATATTATTTATATTTTATTTTATTTTAAATATATTTTAATAAATTTTAAACTAAATTTGATTAAAATTTTTTTATTTAAATTTTACAAATTTATAGAATTCAAACAAAAACTTTTTATCAAATTTAATTAAAACTTGTTAAAATATTTTAATTTAATAATTTTGTTATAATTTATAAAAATATTACTAATTATAATTGCAATTATTATTATTAAATTTTATATAGTCAGACCTCTCTAAATATTACTTCTCTAAGTGCATGTTTTATAAAACATCTCTTTAAATACATGTTTTTTCTTGGATTCAACTAATATTATATCTATAGATTTTTATTTCTCTAAATGCAATATCTCTTTAAATATATATTTAACTAAATTTTTATATATGATCCTATTATATTATATTTAGAAAGATCTGACTATATTTCAAAAACTATTAACTTAATTTTAACTAAAATTTATTTAATTTTATTTTATTATAAAACTCTAGAAATAAGAAGTAGTAATAATTATTGTTCTAGCTTATGCTGAGATTAGCTTATGCTAAGATTAGCTTATACTGGGAATTTGACTTATTTTATTATCAAAATTACAAAAATTTTTGGGCTTTTTTTGTAGTCTTTTTTTTATAATTAGATTAGAAATTAGGATTAGTATTTATAATAAAAAAGTATATATAGATTTAGTAGCTGTTAGAGATTTAAATAAGAACCCAAATCCCAGAATATATAAATTTAGTAGCTGTTTGAGATTTAAATGAGAACCCAAATCTCAGTATAAGCCAGTCTCAGCATAAGCTGTCACAATTATTACTAATTATTTGTAATAAAATCTTTAATAAATATATATTTTGTTTTAAAACTTTAAATAAAAATATTTTAATAATTTTTTAGCCAAATGTGATAAAAATTATTTTATTTTGAATTTTATAGATTTATAAAGTTAAATAAAAAATTTTATCAATTTGTTTAAAAACTTATTAAGATATCTTTGTTTAAAGGTTAAAAATTTTAATATAATTAATAAAAATTTTAGTTAAATTAATTAGTAATAATTATAATATTATTAGTATATAATTAACCAGTAATAATAAACCAAAAAAGATTTTATTTAGTTTATTTTAAAGTTAAAGTAGGGCCTGATATTTTAGCAAGGTGTTAAATATATACAAAATTTAGCAAAAAATTTTTTTTATTAAAACATTGAAGGTAGTTTCATAGGCAAATTCTTGAAATATTGGCATTTTTTTAAAAAAATCTTTATTGCTATTATACAAATTAATTTGCATATTACATCTGATCCTGCAAATCTATTGACTAATTATATACTAGTGATAATTACCACTGGTTATAATTACTAAAATACAACTAATAAATATATAAATTGTTTTAAAAACTTTAAATAAAAATATTTTGACAAGTACTGTATCTAACCAAATTTGATAAAAATTTTTTACAAATTTATAAAATTCAAATAAAAAAATTTTATAAATTTGATAAGATAGTTATTATACTAGCTTTAGGCCATACAAAATTAATTTTTTGTTTCTTATAACATTAAATTTTAAAAATGTCCCGCCGGCCGGCTTTGTCTTTTATAAAATTTTATAAAATTTTTAAAATATTTTTTTTGAAACCCCACCAGACTATTAAAACATATAAAAAAATTTTCTTCAAAAGTTTTCAAAATTTGACCCAACCGGGTTATGAGAAACAATTAATTAAATTTGTATAGCCTTAGCTAAAGTTTTTAAAAAAATTAAAAAAATTTTGTCTATTAAAATAGGGTTGTTAATTGATTTGCACGACCCCTGAACCATCAATTTAATAGGCGTGTTTATTTTTGCTAATGATACAAATTCAAATTTTATATGTAGATCGCAAAATCAGGTGCAATCTTTGTATAACGTGAAATCGAAGGCTTTTTCAAAATATTGCCGGTAATTCACCTTTACGTTCTAATAAAAAAAATTTATGGCCAAATTTTACTATACGATGTTTCTTATACCAACCTTAACCCTAACCCTAATGCTGGTCAAAATTTCATGTGCTTTTAGCGAAATAGCAAAAAACGTCTATTTCCTATTGGCACGTGATTCGTATCACTTGCGGAAATAGGTAAATCCCTTTAATAGTTACCCCGCTTTAGCGGACCAAAATTTCCCAGAAAAGAATAAAAGAAATAATACGTACGCGACTTAGATGGCATGATGTGACAAATATCTACGTAATATTTGTAATATTTGTAATATTTATTAGAAGATATGCCTAATTTCATATATCAATTTTTTATCCCATATCAAGAAAAAATAACAAGAAATATAACAACTAATATAGTAATATGGCAAATGTCGATTGGGTCAAAGAGAATCTTATTTAACGTTAAGTGAAAATCAACTTCTGAATAAAATTAGATACTTTGTTTACTAAGTCAACACAACATAGAGTTAAAATAAACAGGAGAAAAAAAAAACCAGGTAAGTTACGAAACGAACCGGATAAAAGTCCAGTGATTCAAGAGTAATAAGTTAGTCATTAAATGATTACAAAGACCTTACAAAAACGGAACAGTATATTTGCATACATCAAATACATAAAAATTTTCACACAGTCGCAGCGATCAACATATTCATTTTTGCATATATTTATACTTGTTACATATATATACATATATACATAACTTGATGGGCGAAAATTTATAGATCTGCATGAAAAAAATAGTTTGTCATTGCCACGCACACAAATTTCACTTCACTGGGAATAAAATTTACCGGCCGAATAAGGAAAACCAGAAACTGGAATACAGCAATAAGATTGGTAAAATTTCCAGATACAGATAGATGATCTTACCGGAAAAAGTTTATTAAGGTACGAATGTTTCTAGTGTTAACTATAAGCCACTTATTTTGTGTATAAATGCTTATGCTCCTTTACTCCCTCATTATACACATTAATACACCAATCATGCGCCTAAAATTGACAAACAAAATAGTCATCCGACCAAATTATTTGATTGAATAATGAAATATATATATATATATATATATATATACTAAAAATAACATAAATTACGCTTAATATTTAAAAAACTTTCTGTTTACACGTCTTTAAGTCTTGTATATAAACGAAATTTTACTTTTTTTTTTTTAAAAAAAAAAAGCTATGTCATTATCTTTTCATTCTCGACTATCTGATAATCTTGGTACTCTACTCGAACACGCAGAAGACTACGACGTTACGATTAAAGTAGGAAAGCCCAAAGTTGAAAATAAACATTTTCGTGCACATTCGGTTATTCTAAGAGCAAGGTCAGAATATTTTCGGGCTGCTTTATCAAATAAGTGGGCAAAGAAAGAAGGAACAAAATATGTGTTTGAAAAGCCTAATATTAGACCGATAGTATTTGAAGTGATACTTAGGTATATATTAGATTATAATATTAACTTTGTAATTTTTTTTTCTTTTATAAGTACGTGTTTTATTTATTATTTTATTATTATTTTTTTTTATTTTTATTTTTTATTATTATTTTTTTCTAGGTATATATATAGTGGCAATATCGTACTAGATAAACTTAACGGAAAGGATATAATAGAACTTTTAGTGGCAGCCGATGAATTAATTTTTGAGGAACTTATATATCCACTACAAGATTATCTTCTTAAAAATCAATTAACATGGATTCAAGAGAACATTTTATACGTTTTAAACACAGTTGTAAAAATAAATGCATGCAGCCAATTAAGATTTCACTGTATATCGATAGTTTGTCCGGATCCTGTTAAATTTTTCGAATCACAAGAATTCATCGAATTAGATGAGTCCACTTTAGTATCATTACTAAATCGAGACGATCTATGTATGGAAGAAGGAAAAATTTTGGATCGTGTACTTAAATGGGGTTTAATCAATACTCCAAACTTAAAGAATGTGGACTTTGTAAATTGGAGCACAAAGGAATTTAATGCATTAGAAAAAACTTTACAACGGTGTATTCCGTTGATAAGGTTTGGTCAACTTTCAATTGAAGAATTTAACACTAAAGTCAAACCATTCATAAAGATTTTACCGTCAAATTTGAGATCAAGAATTGTACAACATTTATTGGCTAAAAGACAACCGGAGACTAATTTGATCACAATACCGACAACCCCAGAAAGAGCGATAGACTCAATGATCATCACGCAACAACAAGCTGCTCTTATTGCTTGTTGGATAGATCGAAAACCAGTAACTGAGTCCACGTCCCTATCTGATATGTTTCCAATTCCGTATTATTTCAGGTATTTACGACATTTATTTAGATCATTATATATTATATATATTGTGAAAATATACATATACATACATACATATATATATATATATATATTGCGAAATTTTGAATAATAATAATAATATACTTTTATGATTAAAAGATTATTATTTCGTGGAAGTCGAGACGGATATTTTGCTAAAACATTTCATACTCAATGTGATGGTCAGGGTGCTACAGTAGTTGTCGTGAGAGTAAGTAAATCGGATGAGTTAATAGGAGGCTACAATCCGATAGGATGGTCTTCACCAAGAGATGTTGAGTGGCGTGGTACACGCGATAGCTTTATATTTTCTTTAGGTGATGGAAAAGAACTAAATAAAGCAAAACTAAGTAGGATTAAAGATGATTATGTAAATGACGCAATCCAACTTCATGATCGACTTGGTCCTTCTTTTGGTTTTTACGAATTGAAAATTGTCGACGATGCTGCGCGAGCTGAAACAAGTTATGCATCCGGTGGATTGAAGTATGAACATGCTATTAGGGATAAATGGAATTATTTCAGAGTAGATGATTATGAAGTGTTTCAAGTTTTAAAGAAATAACAAGTATAAAAATGACATTTTAATCATTAAAAAAAAAAAAAAAAAAAAAAAATTCATATGCATAATTTGCAATTTGTTACATATAGTGTTAAAAATAATATTTCAAGTGTAAATGTTATGTATACGATATGAAATAATTATCGTAGATTCGTAGATTGTAATTTTTTTTTTTTAACGCACTTAATTCATTTTTTCAATAAATTCATGTTGCACATACAGCTGCGATCGCATTATCCACCAATCCTTAAATTTTAACTTTTAAAACGGATATCGAAAAGGTAACTCTGAATGCACGAAAATGCGATTTTTGTTTATTGTGCTTTAGCGATCCTCTACAAAAGGTTAAATGCTAATTAACAAATTTACACGTGTTACGATTATCATCGTAACACCGCCTAATATTTCTAATCACGTTGCAATTATCTATCAATGTTAAGCTTCTTGTGGCAAACATTCTCTAAAAAGGCAGTCTCGTGTATTTATTATGACCTATCATTTTTAGCCTCTATTAGCCTCTATATATTATTGTATTAGTTTCAGATTTTATTCGTTGCAAATATTTTTAAAAAAATCAAGGATAAATCTTGTTTATACAACTATTTAAAAATGATAAATATATTTTGTTTTATTGTACCACAATTGGTAAGTATAATTATCGTTATAAAACTTATTGTCTAAGGCTTTATTTATGATTATTAAAAGACCTAACACTAGTGTTACCAACAACATAAAAATTTTGTTCTTGCCAAATAGTGTCTTGCATACGCAGGGACATGGCAAGGGCTTGTCTATACCTCAAACCTAGATATAACAACAAACATTAATGTTAACGTTAAAAATTACATACCTATGTACAGTACGTAATAAAAAGTATCCACAATTTTCAATTATCCCTTACTCCATTTTACAGGTAAATTTTTCTGCAAATACTGTATATAGTTAATAATTAATCTGTAATCGAGCTACGTATTAACCTATATATATTGGTTTATCTCATAATTCATTTTATGATATTCATTTTAAGCGATATTCATTTTAAGCTAACACTATGATTTAAATGATTTAAAGAATAAATAACATACATAATATCGATATGCTTTATAAAAAATATTGCTAATCACTTTTATTAAATCATTTATTATGTATGACCTTCATTTTCATCAGCCGCCATTTATCATGTAATAAACCTGTTTTTTACATTTAAAGTTAATTTAAATAATTTATTCAATGAATTAAATGAGTTATATACAATGATTTCATAACGTACGTACGTATGGTAAGACACAGCTTTATCGCTATATTATACTATACTATATATATAAAATAAAATTTTTCTCTAAAATTCTAATTTTTCTACGTATCAAATTTTATTTGTATTAGTAAACTATACCAGGTATTCGAAAAGTTCCTATCGTTATACACGATTCCTATTTTTTAAGTATAGCATATATTGAGATCATGATGATTTGAATTTGCATAAATAATTATCGTGATTTTTTAAATATATATAAGGTCACTTAAAAAAAGTGACTGTATATAGGAACTTTTTGAACTCCCGGTAGAATTTCATATTTTTTTTTTTAGTTTTTTAATTTACTGCCATAGCGATATCACTATCCCTGGTCTAGCCAATTAGAATGCATGATCAAGTGTAACGTGAAATCGATGCGTCTAGTGATTTGACCCGTTGACCTCCAGGAGCGACCGTCTCGGTTACACAAACTGCAAATCACTTCCGAGATCCTCCAACCAATCAAAAATTAGTATCAC